GTCTGATATTTTATTGTTATCGAGAATAATGGTAAAGGTGAAAACCTGCTTTCTACGGCGGACTAATCTATTCAAGGAAATAATAAATCCTATTAATCAGGAGATATTTTTGAAAGAAAAATTGTAAGTCAGGAGTTCTTAAGTATTGAAGTTATAAATGACTATAAATCTTCAACTACATTTCAAATAAGCGTGAACATATAAGATGAACAATAAAATATTTTGGCAATTTGATTTAGATTTCTCCTGGCATCTTTTTGAAACTGCCGTTCAACTTGTTATCTTATGTTCTAGACATTTTTTTTTTCCTTTCTTCTTTTTGATTTGATTGGAAAAAAAAAATTCATGTGAAAAACATATAAAAGAATGGAAATGGAGGAGAAATCTTCTAACTAAAACATAAAAAATATTTAAAACACTTCCTGCGAAGGCTTTGAATAAATTTTGTATTTTTTTTTCTTTTTAATTTTTGGAAGTAAGTCTTCCATTGTAATTTTTCATTTTATCCGTGGAAACTTGTGTTTCCTTGTTAATTAAGACGCTTTCTGCAAAATTAATCCTAAAATATAAAGTTTTTTTTTTTTTTTTTTTCATTTTGTGACCACAAAAGGTTAATTAGAACTATATTGTACGGTATAAAATGAGAATGCCTTGGTACTATACTTTTGTGTTCCTTGATTATGTTTCTTATCTTAATCCTTTATTAACTTGTATGTTGTGCCTGAAATATGATGGTTTGCATTTACTTGTTTGCAAATTCACTTGTCAGGCACATTAGAAAATTTGTTGCAACATGTTGATCAAGTGGAAGATGAACGTATAAGGAAGGTATGTCTATCAGAGTATAATAACTGGCTTCTCAACCAAAAAGTGTATGAAAACACTTGTACTGTTTTCAGTGTATTTGATGCGGTAAGCATATACAATTAATGAATTTTGTTAATTTAGTCATGTTGTCCGGTGCTGGATTTGATTGCATTCAGCCTTTAAGATTTCTGGGTTGAAGTCAGACTTGTAAAACAATTCTGATAATTTATTGTTTATATACAATAATATATAATCAATTGTTTATTTACTATTCGACTAAGATTGAGAAGCAATTCTAGGAGTAGAAAACAAAGCAAAGAAGTTCTAGTAAACAAACTTATTTTTTAAATACAAAAACAAAATTATAATCTAATGGTCTTAAATAATCTCAGTTATATTTGAAGTCAGTTTGCTATATTTGTCGTTCTTTTATTCCTTTTTCTTTCTAGTTTCTGTGTAATCAGATTTGTTTATGGAAACTAGCTGGTACTAAGCTCCTTATTTTCACCCTTAATGACTGAAAATTTTATTTGAAATTGGTCCTGAACTAATCCTTCACTCCTAAGATTATTAAAATATTTTTTGTATCTTGTCCCGAACAAATTATCATCCCTATTAAGATTCCAACTTAAAGGGAAAATATGAAAACTCTGGAAAATTAGTTTTCTTGATAAATCCCTATTTATTATCTCAATCTACTTCAGAAGCATGTTTTGGGTGTGAGATGCTTTTGTTAATGTAACAAAATGAAAAAGAAATTATAATGATGGACTTGTTTTACTATGATTTTAAAGGTTTAATTGTTTGTGAAAATATATGCATTGTGAAACTAAGGACGCATGCTCGGGAAATGAGCAGAAGAATGACATGGATATGAGCACAGACACCAATAATTTTTTTTTTATACAGATATGTCATACTTTGTGATGCTTGCATTTACAAGATAATGCGAAAGGTGGACATATACAATCCTCTAAAGAACTGATCCATCAGTTATTGCAAATACAACAAATACTTGATGCTTGGTCTTTATTTTCGTTCCTTTTTCTTGTAGATGTTGGTAACAAATGCTGAACAAGCTATCTTGAGCAAGGACCTGGTAATTTCACTTCAGTTTTATTAGGTTACTTGTGTTCTTGTGAAAGCAGAATTTTTTTTCCGCATATACTATATTTGGTTGATATTTTGGGGTAATTTTCTTTTTCTTTAGAATCGTAAGGACTAGTTAACTCTTTTCTCCTTGATACTCTTTATGGTCTTAATCAATAATCAGTATTTTGAAAAGCATGCCTCGTGTCACCGTCACAAGGCGTGTTGCCCATGGCCGCATGCCCGTTACATGCTGAATCCCTTGTCTTGTACTACTTTATCGCTTTTCTCTACTGTTTTCATGTTATATAATTTATTTCTTGCTTTTTCTAAGAGTATGACATTTCGGCAAAGTCATGTCTACGCCAGGTAGACATGAAATGTCCCAGAATGTATTATAGGGGATGAGACTAGTTGTCAAATTCTCCCTACCCGAAAAGAGTATATACTGTTTAAGCTGTTGTTGTTGCCTTTTGCTTGAATGCTATATAACACCATTTTCAATCTCTCACTCAATCTTGCTTTTAAACCCTCTTTCAAAATTTCTTTGCCCTGCTTTCTAAAACCTTCTTAAATCGGGGCTAGAGGCTTGAGTATACACGTTGCCTGGCCGTAGGCAACGCAATCCGAAAGTTGGCTTGACTCACTCAGTGGTAAGAGTGTGTGCCGTAAAAACGCCAAGTCCGCTGCCAAGAAAAAGGCGATTGTGACACCTCGCAAAGAGGCCCTCAACTTCTGTTTACTTCTTCATGACATTTTGTGAATAAATTAAGAAATATGTTCCAAAAACTGTTATTTTCCTAAACAAATATTCATTTAATCCCTTGGAATGGTCGACTGGTTAGGCAGGGGAATGCAATTCTAAGTAGCATGGATCTATTGTTTCTTCTTATTACATAAATGCAAAAACCTGTACTTGACTTAATGTAAATATTGGCATCCACCATGTTATTTAACTTGTTGCTTCATCCAAGTCATTTATGCTGCAGGCAATCTTGCGATCTGATCTTCCGCTCTATATGGTACCATTTACCACCAGAGATCTTTTATTCAAGAAACCGGAGGTTTGTGCTATTATTTGTAGGACTTGGGACTTATTCGAATTTTACTGTTCAATCTGGTGATGCATTGCTAGAAATTATTTGAAACTTTAGGAAGGACTTAATTTGACCCACTAATGGGGTCTCAATTGGGCAAAATACTGATTTGAGAAATGAGACATTTAAGAGTAAGATTCTCATTAAAGTGTTGATATAATCAAATGTAACGCCCCAAGCCCACTACTAGCAGATATTGCAGATATTGTCCTCTTTGGGCTTCCCCTCAAGGTTTTTAAAACGTGTCTGCTAGGGAGAGGTTTCCACACCCTTATAAGGAATGTTTCGTTCTCCTCCCCAACCGATGTGGGATCTTACAATCCACCCCCTCCGAGCCCAGCGTCCTTGCTAGCTTAACGCCTCGTATCCACCCCCTTTCGGGGTTCAGCCTCCTCGTTGTGACCTCAACATGCACTGTTGTGCATGGTGTAATGGGATTCATTTATTCAGCTATTTGTTCAAATGCTAGAAGGTGTTTAGAAGCAAGACAACTGTGAATTTTGACAGAAATTTTTGGTTGTACAGGATAATGGGGAGAAATTCACAAGCCTCTTAACTGCTATTGGTGCATATGCAGAAGGATTCTCAGCTGATCCAATTATGAGGAGAGTACTAAACTTATGGAAGAAGCTTGAAAAAAGTTAGTGATCGATGTCAATATGCTCAGCCTCTTGTCCACTTTGTTGCATGTAAATTTGGTTTTGTTGTATAATTAGAGATGTTAGCAGAGGTTAGAAACCAAATTAGTCTCTGTTTATGAATACCCCCTTGTTCTCCGTAGCCTTTGAGCAAAGAAAATGAGAAACACAGGAAATTTCAGCTTTACATGTGATGGAGTATCCCTTGCTGTGAATCACTGAAAACTGGCTTCTTCTCCACTTGGAGCATATTGATTCTTTAGAAGATGGAGGCATTTTAAGCTTTTTAATTCATTCAAAATTTAATATTTTCAATATTGAAAGATGAGACTTTTAACGTATATATCAGGATAATGTTGTTGCGAATGAATACGACTAGTTTGGTGGAGTTTATAAGTAGCAAGTAGATAGGTCATACTCTCATACATGGAATTTATCCAACTTACTTCTTTGGCCCGAGTCAAAGTCACTAAAGGTCATTGTTAACTTGATCTTGTTCCTCAAATGTCTAACTCCACCTATGGAGTTCCATGACATCATATTTAAGATATCATTGAAAAAAATTAATTCATCTAATTGCGTCAACTATTCAAAATTTGGCTCCAAACATTTTAAATTAGTCAAATAGTAGCTTTACTGACCTTAGACGTTAATAATTACGTAAAAAAAAATGACTCCAAAAAAATGACTCCAAAATGATAATATGGGGTCAAATTGTCCAATCTAAGTTGAATAAACTATCGAGTCGAATGGAAGTCGACGGCAGGGAGCAAGCCGCGGCTAGGAGGGAAGTTGCATTGAGTTGTAAGCATTGGGGGTCGGGCTTGGGTCATGAACGAGTTGGTGCGTGGGTCATGGATCAGGTTCAGGTCATTAACGGGCTAAGGTGTTGGGCTACTGAGTCGTTAGGTGTCAGGATCGAACATTTTCAACCATGCGGCGTCATGATCTTGACATGCTCATGACAAGCCTCGAGGAAAATTCAAGCCCCATATTTAATTTTTGAGCGTCTTTGTGGCTTTGTCAAACCTAAGGCGAGGTTTGCCTTTGCCAATTGAATACTTATTTGAAATTCAAGCTTGTTTGACCACACACGCACGCTTGTATGTGCATGCTCGATCTTCTTCGACCCAACCAACTTGCCTCTACACTAGATCAAGTGATCCAACTCGACTTTGTTTCTGCTTGGGACAAGGTCTCTCGTATGCAATCTCACTTCTTCTCCTCCTCTTCCTCATGTCATGATGCCATCCAATCTCACTTCTTCTCCTCCTCTTCCTCATGTCATGATGCCATCTAAAGATTGGGACCGGTGCATAAAGAACGACAAGTGCATAAATAACCACAAGTGCATAAAAAACGAACCCACCTTTTGTTCATAACATTGTGGCATCCAGAAAATCCATCCAAATCTCTAAACTCTGTCTTGGACAGATTAAACCCAACCAAAGCAATTCAATTTTAAACGATCTTCAGTTCGCTTCGGTCTCCCAGTCTCCCAGATACATAGAAATAAACTGACGAACTCAGAATTTTTCTCTGGTTTTCACTCAATGCATTGGCGCCTTGAAATCCCAATTGAGGGTTGTTTTAAGCAACTAGTTCAAGAAGTTATTAGCATAAGGCATTTCAACGAGGCGATGATTTGAGTAATGAAGAAGCTCCAATACGCCATACAAAGCTTGAAAACCATAACCAAAAGCGCTCCCCGAAATCTCCTTGAATACAACCGATTGCTTGCAGAGCTCAAGCGATCAAGTCGCTACTTCGACGCTTTGCAACTCTTCACTCAAATCCATTCATCTCATTGCTTCACCATCAGGCCCGACCACTACAATCTCTCCACCGCACTTGCCGTTTGTGCCAACTTTCGCGACATTGCCTTCGGGTCTCAGCTCCATGGTTACGCTGTTCGATCTGGGCTCAAATTCTACCCTCATGTCGCCAATACCATTCTTTCGCTTTATGCAAAAACAGAGGATTTAGAGTCTTTGAAAAAGGGTTTCCAAGAGATTGAGAACCCAGATGTTTATTCTTGGACTACGTTGTTGTCAGCTTCTACAAAATTGGGTCATGTTGAGTATGCAGATGAGGTGTTTGATATAATGCCAAAGGGTCATATTGAATATACGGATGAGGTGTTTGATAAAATGCCAAAGGGTAATGTTGCGTGTTGGAATGCTGTGATAACTGGGTGTGCGGAAAGTGGACGTGATTGGGTTGCCATTAGCATCTTTTATGAAATGCACAAAATGGGCGTTAAGCCTGATAAGTACTCTTTTGCTTGTATCTTGAGTTTGTGTACCAAGCAAGTTGAAGATTTGGGAAGACAGGTGCATTCTTTGGTGATTAAGGCTGGATATCTTAGCAAAGCTTCTGTGATTAACGCTTTGATTACTATGTATTTCTGTAGTGACAACCACGAGGATGCCTTTGAGGTTTTTGAGGGAACTGAAGCTGTGTTTCATGATCAGATTACATATAACGTAATGATAGACGGCTTAGTCTGCGTAGGAAGGGATGAAGAGGCCTTGATCATGTTCAAAGATATGCAAAGGGCATGTCTAAGTCCTACTGAGCTTACCTTGGTGAGCATTATGAGCTCATGTTCATTTGTACGAGTTGCCCAACAAGTGCACTCCCATGCAATTAAGCTAGGCTTTGAATCTTTTACTTCAGTAGCAAATTCGGCCATAACCATGTACTCTTCTTGTGGGGAGTTTCAGGCAGCCAATGCAGTTTTTCAGACTCTGAGAGACAAGGATCTCATCTCATGGAATGCCATGATCTCGAGCCATGTCCGAGGAAATTTTGGAAAATCAGCTGTTCTTACTTTTCTACAAATGCAGAGGACTGGAATTGGGCCAGATGAGTTCACGTTTGGAAGCTTATTAGGAGTTTCAGAGTTCATCGACATAGTGGATATGGGTCACGCCTTTGTATATAAAAACGGGTTGATCCTCGTAATTGAAACTTTGAACGCACTAGTTTCTTCATACTCGAAGTGTGGAAAGATTACACAGGCTCATCAAGTCTTCAGTGGAATCAATCCAAAAAATTTAATCTCTTGGAATACAGTCATTTATGGATTTTTGTTAAATGGTCTTCCATTGCAAGCATTGGAGCATTTTTCTGAACTTATAATGTCGAAGCTCAAGCCGAGCACGTTTACACTCAGCATTGTCCTAAGCCTTTGTTCAAACATTTCAACCTTGGACATTGGGAAACAGATTCATGGTTACATTCTCAGATCGGGCAACTTCTCAGAAACTTCTGTATGCAATGGCCTTATAACAATGTATTCTAAATGTGGGTTGTTAGATTGGTCTCTGAGAGTTTTTAATGTCATGATCAAAAGGGATATTATATCTTGGAATTCTGTAATATCTGCTTATGCACAACATGGGCAGGGGAAGGAAGCTGTGCGCTGTTTCAAGGCTATGCAAGACATGTCCCCATTTATGCCTGATCAAGCCACATTCACTACTGTTCTTTCAGCTTGCAGCCACGCAGGATTAGTTGATGAAGCCGGTCAGATTTTCGAGGCGATGTTGACATATTATCACGTTGTTCCTAGTGTGGATCAGTTATGTTGCATCGTCGACCTTCTAGGTCGTTCGGGGTATATTGATCAGGCTGAAAGTGCAATAGAAAGTGCACAATATGGAGAGCATACACAGGTCTGGTGGGCATTATTTAGTGCTTGTGCAGCTCATGGAAACTTAAGGTTAGGAAGAAGTGTTGCGGGAATCCTTCTAGAGAAAGAACGTGATAATCCATCGGTGTATGTGGTTCTGTCAAATATATATGCCACTGCTGGGTGTTGGCAAGAAGCAGCCAACGTGAGGGAATTGATTAAGAAAACTGGTGCAATCAAACAACCAGGCTGCAGTTGGATCAGGTAACTGAATCTTGCCTTACTATAATTCTTTTACAATCTTTTATTCTTCATTGGGCTGGATTTGACGTATTGTTTGTACGGTGAATTATGTTAACGTTCAATTTTTCATACTGTTATCTGTGAATTATCTATCTTGTTGTTCAGCTAAGAGCTGAGGGAAGATCACAATCGAATCATCTACAAATAGGAAAGTGCTCATTCGGCTTGAAGTTGTGGAGATCATGCCTGAGAATCGAGTGCCATCACTACATCGTGTATATTGAGCAATCAGTGAGATCGACGATGAAGGCCTCGGGCTAGACGCTTTGGGCAGCTGAAACTCTAAACTACTCTTCCTATACGTAAGAGGAGGATCATCACACACAAGGTATGTTTTGCAATTCCTATTTTTGCTTAGCTCTACACAAATTCGAATTTAACTTAAACCAGTTTAGAGCGAGAACCGTACTAATTTGTAGTTCCTTGGTTTTGCTTGAATTAGTTCCTTCGTCCTTTGATTTGAGATGACACTACGTTCTCCTAGGCTAAGTTCATGCATTAACATTTGATCCGACCCAAGTGGGAAAAGCCAAACAATTAGTTCGCGGCCCTCGAAGAAAAGATTTGGGTGATGGACATGAAATTCTAGATCAAAAGGATCGGAGTGGAATGTTAGAAATTACGATTCTCTAGAATGATATGATATTGTCCACTTTGAGTATAAGCTCTTCATGACTTTGCTTTTGGTTTCTCCAAAAGGCCTCATACCAATGGGACTCCTCTCCCAACAATTTTCAAGATGGCAATCATGTCCAAACGCAAAGATGAGAACGACCTCACTGCATTTTTTGTTTGCAGTCTAGCCAAGGGAAAAGACCCTGCTAATGAGTGTGTTAGAGAATGTTGAGTCCAAATTTCAAGTCCCACTGACCGGCTTAACCTATGTAGGAACAGATAGATGTGGTTCAAGAAGACCTGTGCAACAAGATGAGTCGAGCCCACGACCACCTGTTCCAGTCTTGTAACAGCCCAAGCCCATCGCTAGCAGATATTGTCCTCTTTGGGCTTTCCCTTTTGGCTTTCCCTCAAGGCTTTAAAACGCGTCTGCTAGGGAAAGGTTTCCACACCCTTATAAAGGGTGTTTCGTTCTCCTCCCCAACCAATGTGAAACTCTCACAAGTCTGATACCGTCCCATGAGGCCACACTATTCTAGAAATTGATTGTCGGATCTGATATGAACCAAAAGACATTATAACCCACCCAAAATTTACAACAATCAAACTTTATTCTTCTTCAATGTAGCATGAATTGAAACATCTTTTGATAATTTTGACAACCTTTTCTTCACATCTTCATTGAAGCATATTGTATGATTGATGTCTCTTGGTTCATATCAGGATCTCTGATTTTCCATTTGGTGAAATGAAGTGTGTTGGTTTGTAGATGAGCTGCTGTCGGATGTTGAAGTGAAAGCACATAAGCAAGTCGAAAGTGATGGTTCTATATGAGTATAATTTTGGCCGTGTTTGTCTATGGTATGAAAATGAGTGAGTTTATGTAAGATTTTACTTGGTGTGTCAATGATTGATAACAAATTTATACCATGCACTCCAAATCCCACAGGTTATTGTTGCTCGTCTATAGTAGAGTTTTTCAAGCCTTTTACAAGGTCACCCTTAGTTTCATCCAATTACTCGTCTCGAGTTTTTGTTAGTATGGTTTCATCTTGGGTAGTTAAATATCTTTTTATATATGTCTAGGATTCGAAATCTAGATTTGACATTACTTACTTCTTGCTTCGAAGAGTAGACCACGAGTTCTTTAAGCATGTTTTGTTCTTATTTACATGCATCTTAAAAAAATTTCTATGAGTTTATCCAACATAAAATTACTCCACACTTTTACTTAATTAAAAGTTTTTTTTTTTTTGATAAAATATAAAGTAAAATTTAAATAATGTCACCTCACACGTATCTAAATCTCAATCTCTTCCCATTTATGTTTATCTTTTATTTACCCTCTTTTAAATGATGTGAAAGTTTATGCCAATATATATTTATTTGACCGATTTAAAAACAAAACTATCTTTTTACTTTATCTACATTTTTTAATCCTTAAAGGATAGTGAAAACAATTTGATTGAAGAGTTTTTCATAAAATAAATAATATTGATCGGATTAAGTTCTGATTTTAATTTATAGAGAGAACTAAGCAAATACAATTTAGATGATATAATTTAGACTTTGATGGTACAAAATTCTTGAGCAAAATTTAATATATGACTTTGGTTTGGGGAAGTTGAGTGTATTATTTTCGAGATATATATATATATATATATATAATTATTTTGGATATCGGTGAATTAAAGATATATATTAGAAACTTGATGTTATCTTGAAATGAATTGAATTATATTCAAAATTATCTATTTAACTAGACACATAGATAGCTATGAAACTTTTTTTTTTTATAATGGAATTAGATTCGAAAATGCAATGACGCGGATTCATATGTTGAAAGTGAAGAAGGAGGAGTAGCATATGTATATATAAAGGTGAAAGTGGTAAACAATTGATCTAAGGCAAAACAAAGCAAAGCAGAAGAATTGCGAAGGTTTCTTAATATATTAGAGTTACCCTATTCATCAAAGCTCAAGATGACGTTTGGAGTCATAGGAGGTGTGGTGGATTCGATCGGTCAAGTAGGCGGTAACAAGCTTGGAATTTTCGAACCGATTGGGAATTTGGCCGACCAAATTATTCTTGGAATTGCACAATTTGCACTGAATTTTATTGCCCAGGCATTAAGGATCGAGCTGAGGTTTAAGGGTTTGATAGATGCTAAAGTCCAAGTGTCGTTGCAAGGGAAGCTCTATTACTTTAAGATAGAAGCGGAGGCTATAATCAATGGCATATGGATAGCTCAATATTATGAATGTGAAGTTTTTGTTCCGTTCATTGGCGTTTGGGAATGCAGATCTTACAAGCTTTGCCAACCCAACTAATTCCCTCTCCTACCTACTCTATATTCCTACCTACTCTATAAGAAATGAATGATGCATACTTATGCTCTTTCATCAATCAATGAAATAAACCTTATTATCTATATCTTTTTTTTCACTTAATCAATCCATCTTCTACTCATTGCTTCAAATCATATAAAACAAATTAAAAGATATATAGTCAATTTTAATGTTTCAACTCGATTTTTTAGGTTTCAAGAAATCAAACCACAGCAAAAAAAAAAAAAAATAATAATAATAATAATAATAATGGAAATAAAAGAGTAAAAATAAAATAAAAACAAGTAAATTAAAATATGGTAAAATTGTGCACCATCTAAAATCAAACAATACCATTGCCAAAATCATTCGGAATCTTTCTGAGGCCGTATCATTTTTTCTTTGACAAATTAAAGAGTTCACCATTGGCATAATACCTTCTCTCCTCATGTTGTGGTTGGGATAGGTTTTTCTTTTTTTTTCTTTTCCTTATCCTCCTCCTCGATCATACTTGAGTACTTGTTTTTCCGTTCATTATTCGATCTCAATATGAAAACATCGTCGAGGAAGATTAGGTAAGGGAATGAGCTAGCAACAAAGTTGCCATTAAAATCCTAGGCAAGATGTGCCTAGGTGAAACTATAACGACATGTCTTTCTCTATTTCAAAAAGCAGACCCTTACGTAGACACAAAGGTACAAATTTAGTAAAATTTTTTGTGTTTAAAACAAAGCATATAAATATGTTAAACTTAAATACATTAAGACAAGTTAAGTTAAACACATTCATGCGCACGCGTATGACTTCAGTTACAAAAATCATTTACAAATAACGGGCTTTTCAAGACCATATACAAATAAATCTGCACGACCCAACATGCTCTTACCACGATCAGTGCTCTACTCGTTACCTGAAAATAAAATGTAACAAGAGTAAGTATTAAAAATATTTAGTAAGCAACCTACTGATAAGTGCTCGTCGTACTTATTCCTTATAACATGTACTTAGGCTATGTGCTAAGTTATATATTATACCTCTAGTATGTGATAGTCTCTTAAAACTCATAAGTACCTAAACCCTATACATACCTCCTCTAAGGAATAATTTAACCCACTCCGAGCTCATAACTCAAGGGTTTTCGATACTCTTAGCTCTATGTTTTACATTTTCCTTCAGAGTTCATCAAACTTATGCTAATTGCGCATTGAGTCATTGTGGCCTATGGAAAAAGGCCGAGGGTAAATCTCATAAGTATTAAGGATTCATTTGCTCTTAAAACAGTAACCGTACTCCACATGTGTCTACCTACTGGGTTCTAACTGAATAGCTCTCTCTGGTGATGCCGGGCAACAACTACTTGTTCTAATATCAGTAAAGCGCATGTTGCATTGCCTTTTTCAAACGAAAATAGTAAATTGCCTGGTCTTACACCTTTATCGGGTTAGAACAATAAACTACCTATCACATCATCTTTTTAGATAGAAATAGTGTATGGTCTATTCACACCCCTTCTAGGGTAGAACAGTATAAGGTCATGGCTCCTCACTAAGGACAACCGAAGTTACCTCAGAAGTACACCCTCTATGACTTATGGGTCCCTGTAGGTGGCAATTGAACTCTGTGTATTAAGTATACCCTAACCCCTCTGGTCTAGTTTAAGAATAAGGGTTGTGCATTATGAGGTACCTCGTCAACCCCATGTTATACGAGATCTAGAACTAGTTTCTAGGACCATAATAATTTAAAATAGTAGCTTATGGTCCATCACAAACATAACATGCATTCTATGGCACATAATTGGGTGTGACCGTTGCTGTTTTCCTTAATTTCAACCCCTACTTTTCCTTAATTTCAACCCCTACTAGGTATTTCTTCCTCACTTCTTGTTAACTTGGAGGGGCTCATAGTCTATCACGTGAGTAGGGTTCATTATATACTTTTTGAGCATTGACATATGGAACACATTATGTACACTTGAGAGGGAGGGTGGTAGGGTCATTGGTCCAATTTGGTCTAATGAGATCCCTTTATATACTCAATAAGATCCCTCCTACTTCGATTTTCTTGCTCTACAATCTTTTTAATAAACTATAGAAGATAAAAACAGACACTAATGATCGTTATTATTTGTGTTATGAAAATGTCGACATATTTCATTCTCCCCCTCACTATTTTGAAAATAATTTTCATAAAATTCTAAATGATATCGATCCATACAAACATCTTTTGTAATGACAATCAAAAATCCTCGTCAGGTACGTACAAATTTCATGATGTAAATGAATGAGAGGGAGCATATGATATCTTGTTATGTATCGTTTTCCCACTAAATATAATCTATGCTAAATTCATTTATCTAAATTTCTCAATCTGCAATTTCCATAATTCTAATGTTGATTAAGCCTTATCACAATAGACTAGTTTGCTATAAGCAACTTCATGTAAGCACGTGGAATTGAATTTCAAATTCTAATTTGTTCCTCGGGTCGATGATAAACTAAAATTTACTTCTAGACATTCTTGGGTTTCTTCTAGAGTGTCTTTCATTTTTTCCACATACTTTTATATATAACTTTAATTTTTTTTTTTTAATTTCGTTATGGTTCTAGATCAAGAATTTATAAAAAAAATATGTATATATATATATTATTAAATCACTTTGCTAGGTCTAAATTCTATGTCCGGCAATAAAATAATAAAATTTAAGGTTTTGGATATAAAGGAATTTGTTAAAGTTTTAAAGCTAAGTTTATGGATGGTTTAGAAT